AGCCGTGTACAAAATCCACACGGAAGTGTGGTAGTGTATTTGGGTACCAATGTGGACAAGTTTGTCCGGATTTTTGGTGACATAGGTTCGATTGCTGGTGCCAACGCGTGGGCACACCAGAACTCGCCCCGCTGAAATGCGGGTTTTAATTCCGAGCGGGAATCTGTACATTACGCGCCACCAGTCGTTTGGGTTTACCCAATAGAAGAGCGCACTTGTGTCGGTACAGCGGTGTGGTGTGTACGACACTCATGGGCTAGTTTCAGAGCGTGCGTGTACAGGAGCATGTACAGGAAGATAGGTGTTTTGTTATGATTATTTGCGGCAGCCTGTGGAAGCAGTCCCATTGGACATTTTATGGGTGTGCAAGTTAGTGTTATGTACATATGACGGGATGTCAAGCGGACGGCAGGCTGTTGTTCTTCTTCTGCATGGTTTCCGAGCATGCATACGCGAGCATGCATATGGTGGGACAGAGCGCTTGGTGCCAAGCATGTTAAGCGAACGTTGTGAAAGCTGTGCGACGTGTAACAGTCGAGGAAAGGTTGCGTCACAGATGTCACGGATACCGTTTTTGGTTAGATAACGGCACCACCGACGTGGTAAAGGAGTGCAGCGGGTAACACAAGCATATGTACAGCCTTACAGCCTTTCTATCCCTATCCTCCGGGGTATCAATCCCAATCCAGGCCCAAGGCAATCTCAATCCAACGGTAGCGTCTATCTCAATCCAACGGTACTACACTCTCAATCCAACGGTAACCCGATCTCAATCCACCTCGGTCTCAATCTCAATCCCTCCACAGTCAATCTCAATCCCCCCGTCAGTCTATCTCAATCCCCGGTTGATCTATCCCAATCCTGGCGACCACCCTACCAACTCAATCCAACCGTACTTGACTTGCCATCCCTCCTGACAGCACGTTGAAGGTGGAAATGTTGCACCGGTCTTTTATAGGATTAAAGCGATGAAAGGCGGGTTTGGTTCTATTCCCCTCTGTTTGACTACTTCCTTCATTTCTCTATGAAATACGCAAGCTGCTCGTTTGTACATTTACTTTGGCCAATGCTCGGGGCCTCTGGAGACTTGCAGTGTGCCGCGATGAAGCTTGCGGCAGTGGGGTGGATTGCTGTAGCCGCTGGTGCTTCGAGGATAAACGCCACAGACCGGACTTCATATGGTCAGCAACCGATGGGTGTGCCACGGAATAGTCCCGAAATCGCTCGGAAAAAATACATTTGTGGCACAAACACAAGCTCCCACCATGTTGACACTACCCATCAATTGTCACACATGCTGCCCTAGCTACCAGCCTGTACAGATGCAGAGGGGCCCCACCCTTTTTCTGGCTTCGAGGAAGCCGACACCAAACTTGTTTTACTTGCTATCCCCTGCCGCTTCTCGCCTGCCGCCCCTATCCCCTGCTGCCTCCTTCCCTGCCGCGTTCTCCCCTGCCGCCTCCATACCTCGCCACAGACTTCAACAGGCGACTTCTCAAAAATCTCATACATGTCTTAATCTTCTTTGCCTCATAAAAGCTTTCCATTGGACTCGTGAACGAACGAAGTTCTAGCCGTAGCCCTCAGTCAGGAGAGCAAGAAGAAAGACAGAAACACTGACGTGTTTCTGCCTTTCTTTTACTTGCTCCCACTTTCTTCGGTAACAGTTGTATGAATAGCGGGCGCGGCTGCCATATATAAGGCGCGGCCTGATCGTTGTTTTCCAGGCAGTCGAACCATACCACTCCCGCGCACGGTAGCAGGACACACTGGCCGAGGTAGTCTGTATGAGTATCACCCTCACTTGGCGTGGACAAGTTCCCCCATTTTATTCTGTTAACAACCGGCTTCTATTCTGACTCCGTCCCCTTCGTCACTGAACACGGTCACGAATCGTTTCTCAGCTATCCGGCCGGTTTCCTTTCCCAGATCCAGACTACAGGACGTCTCGCACGTCTCCAGATCTACGGCTAGGTTCCATCTCGATATTGGGCCTAGTGGCCTGGCAGCAAAACTCTGCTTCATATCAGGCTCCCAACCACACCTGGGCCTGCGGCCTTAGGGCAAAGCTCTGATTCCAAATCCCGCTCGCGCACACAGATCTTGACAATCTGCTGGTATCGATTCCTTTCTATAAACAATCCTGGGCGCCCCG